CGCGGGATGGCGCTTGGCGCCAGGCCGGCAGCCGGTCTTCCCCGGCCGCTCTGCTGGAAGCTAAGCCCGGTTGCCCGCTGCTTCCCCGGGCAACGTGAGGGAGAGTAGAGTGAGCCCTGCTCTTCGAGGGTGAGCAGCGAGTACCGGGTAGTCCCAGAGCCCCCTTTACTAAAAAGCCCTTGGTACCGCAGGTCAGGCAGTGAGGCGACTTCAAAATGGCATAAGCGATAGATGATGGAAATGAAAGCAAGCCATCATGAAGCGATTCATTAGAAAATCTGTCTGTCTCCCTCTCTGCGTCCCTGTCTGTCTGCTGTCTGTCTGCTACCTCCGCCACAATTACATATTGACTGCACAGGGCTGTTTAGTATCTGAGGATTCATCTAGTCTTCTTTCTATTATTTAGTACACCGCTTGGGAAAGAGACGGTGCTTTTGAAGGAGAGAAAAGTGAATGATCCAAATGGAGGGGAGACATAAAAATGATCGCCCAAATATAAACACATCAATAAACAGGATGCGCAGCATCCTACGAGGATCCATTTGAACTGCTCGCGTCTGGATTCTTTCTGTGGCATATGTCTGGCTTTCTATTTTACGTGGTAGTCAGACCTCGGGAAGAATCCGGCGTTAACTAAAGCATTAGGAGCTGCAACCACACAATCAATCCTCCCAGAGTGGCCTTTCTCACTAAGAGATTTTTCAGCGCAGCGGCGAGCATTTTATCTCCAGGAAATTTAAACCCAGCCTGGCGTCGTGGCGGTGATGTTAGGGTAGAAGCAGCCCCCGTTCCTCGATAGTTTAACGTGAGAGGCCCCAGACCCCTTTACGGTTTCAAATGATCCGTGATAAACAATAACACGCCTTTTATTTCTTTAAAAAGGAGACAATCAAATAAAGTGAGCAGAGCCTGAGCATTAAACACCGGGCGAGCCGTGCCTTTATTAATTTCGTGAGACACATAGGCTGTGCAGGGAGGTGAGCAGGTATTGCTGTCGGAAAGCCCAACTGCGGGGAGAGAGGAGTGATAGTAAAAGCTTCATCTGGACACCGCTTCGGCCTAGGTATAATAAACATCAGGACCGCCGGGCTATTTTATAGCAGTGCGTGTGATAAGAGGGGAGCAAAACTTGGAGCCAGTACTAGCCAAGCCCGCTCCTTCCCCCTGCCGGGAGCACGGCTTCCGCCCAGGCGCAGGCACTCGCCCATGTGGCCGAAGCGTGCGCGCCTGTGTGTATGGAAATCCATATTACACATTAATATACATCTATCTCCCAATTTCAGAGGTCGACCTGAGAGCAGCTCGGTGCATACGAAACCAGACGGGGAGGGGTTGCTGGGGAGTCCCGGGCTTCCATTGGCTGCAGGCGCCTGCCGTGGCGCGGGGGTATCTCTAATCATATTCAGCATGTTTTGCACAAGAAATGTCAGCCAGAAAGGGCTATCTGCTCCCTTCGCCAAATTATTCCACAACAATGTCATGCTCCGAGAGCCCGGCTGCAAACTCTTTTTTGGTAGACTCCTTGATCAGCTCGGGCAGAGGGGAAGCGGCGGGAGCAGGAGGCGGAGGCGGAGGCGGAGGCGGCTACTATCCCAACAGTGGTATCTAC